TCAAATTTGCATTAACTCTATAAAGCCCACTGTATCATATCTGATTTCTAAGTTATCAACATGAAACCTGTTGTACGCAATCTTCACGGATCTATTAAAAAAAGAACAGATTTTTGGATTATTGGTCTTTACAGGGTTAACCTCGTGAATGCAGTTGACCGTTGTTCTCCTGATGTCTCTTTAGAGTTCGACAAGTTCTTAGAGGAGCGGGCCAAAAGTGCAGGCAAGGCTTTACCGTCGGCCCCTGCTGGAGGGCCCAGACCCCCCGCGAGCACGTCTAGCAGCAACCACAGGACGACACAGCAGACGGAGGACAATCTCTTTGCCTTGTAGACCAGTGACGGGACAGATGATCACACTCCCTTCCAAACGCTTGCTGTTACTGATAGAGCACTGTGAGACTCCAGCTTCATAACAGCTATAACCTTTGAGCTGAACGGTGCAGTCAAGCCATGGCTTAAGCAAACATGTAGCCAAAATAATTATCTTTAGAGAGCTCGTTGGTTTCACTCCTGTCGAATGGAGCCGATTGGTTTCGTATTTATCGCTCATTAATGAACTAATGCTCTTAAAGTTGGTCGTTCTGAGAGGTATTCATGCGGGCCGGTTCTGAGTCAGCTATGGATTGTGACTCAGTCTGTCTCTGTGGTAAATGGAGCTCTGCTGAAGCAAAGTGGCTACATTCTCGTAATCATCATGTGCGAATTACCAAAGACAGAAGAATAAAAACGTGCTTTCCGTCGATAAAGGTTTTTGTAAAAATATTTATAAAACGGAGAGTTCCGGTGCTTGATTCTGATTGGCTGAGCCGCGTTCGAAGCTGTTGTAAATTACTCTACAAACACACACCTTTATTTACGTTTGTGTGTTGCTCTGCAACAACTTTGTTGCAACCACAACTTTTTCTGAGGCGCTACATTGTTTGGTGGAAGAATACTGTTTTTATTAATATCATTACACTTTATTTGCTCTGTTTTATTTTGTGAAACCTTACTACGTATATGGAATAACCGTTTTATAAAAGCAATAATCCCTGTGAAGCAGTGGTTTACAGTGAATTTATAACAGCTAAGGGGGTTTTAGGCACTCTTAGCTGTTATATATTCACTGTAAACCACGGCTTCTCGGGGCTTATTGCTTTAGTAGACTCTTTCCAAAGCGACTTTCTCGAAATCGAATGAGTTTACTCTCAACATTTTATTTCCGACTTTGTTTCCTCTAAAAACTGCGCGTTTAATCTTGCGTTATAATGACTTCAATCTCGAGACGGTTTTATTTTTTTATTATTGCTTGGCCCTAATCCTCTTCCATAGCACATTAGAATGATTTCCGAAGACATAAATTACATTTGAAAATATATTCCAATAGAAAGTAATTTTTTAAATTGTGATAAGATTTCACAATGTTACCGATTTATTGTATTTCTGATCAAATAAATGCGGTCTTTTGACTTCTTTCAAAAACGTTTAAAAAAATTAATTAATTAATTGAAAAAAAAAATAAACCCCAAACAAGTTATACTCTTAAAAATGTGTTCACACCAGCACTTTTCAGAGCAATTTACCTACATTTTTTTTTATTTGTTATAGTTTACTCCTAAACCTCTAGTGTACCTATAGACTCTACATATTTAAACCGGGATAGAAATTAGGCTTCGTTCGCCAAAATTAGGTTTCATCTGCTTGATACAATATACCATTTCTGATATCTTTTGTTTTCGGGGTATATGAAATATGACACATTTCTTTGTAAGATTCACCCACTTACTGCATCTTTCTGTCAGATTCCTGTTTAAGGATTGATTTCAGTTTGCAAAAACCGACACGTTTGGCAAGTAAAGATCGGAAATGAATGGATATTTTGCTTTGTCCTTTGCTAGACCTAACCAAGAATTATATTAGCCTAATGGCATTTGTAAAATATGTATCCATACGTAGACAAAAATGTGTATATACAGTAGGAAAGTGTGTATAGTAATTGTATTAACTTTGGTGTAAAATGTAAATGTTTGTCATGAAAGATTCTATTCCATGTGACTTCAGGCTTTGCAGGATCGCCGGTGGTTTTCATTCCAGTTCGTGTAAAATTAAATCATGCTAAATGTTGCACTGCGATCTTCCAATAACGTGAAGAAGACGTTCACTTCAGTCGTATATGTATATAGAGCAAACACAGCTAGATCAAGCATGATGCATTTTACACTCTCAGACCTCAAATGTTAAGCGTCTAATGATGGGAGGGGCTTAAATGTTGTTGCCAGCGAATCAAACCTGTTGCGAGCCTCCCCCTAAATCAGTAAATCAGCCGTTCAAACACTGGAGGGCTGTATGCTTTACTTGCAAATGAGGCACAAGTCACTGTGGGTATGATTGAAATGAAATTGCAGCATGTTCAGAAATCAATAACGGTCTGATTTCTTAAACCAGTGCCATTTGAAAGATGGCTATATTTGTTCTGCCATAATGTAATAACAGACAGATTAATGTTAATCTCCAAAGACTTTAATATCTGGTTTTGTTTCCAGCCTTTAAGTACTTGTGAGAAAGACCTGTTAGTGATATCTTGCTCTGCTTTCATCATTATTTGGATGAACTGCTTAAATGAATGTCGCCATGTGACATTAAAAGTGTTTATCTCATAACGTCTTAAATGTATTTTAGAATAATGACGATTTCCTATGGCCAGATTTATTGTTTAATCCAAACTATTTTATTAAAGTGATTCATTTGCTTTGTGCAAACATTTTCCTGCGTGATTAATTTTAACAAGCTTATCTATAAAATATTCTATTATAGCCGTTATTTTGAGGGAAAAAAAGGACCTTGACTATTTTTACAGCAAAATAATTAACCATTTCTCAGCCTGCCTCTTAAAGGGTTAGTTCACCCAAAAATGAAAATTAGGCTGTGTTTTACTCACCCCCGAGGCATCCTAGGTGTATATGACTTTCTTCTTTCAGATGAATCCAGTCGGAGTTATATTAAAAATTGTATTTTATCTTTCAAGCTGTTTAATGGCACTCAGCGAGTGTTGCATGCATCAGTCCAAAAGCAGTTAAATAAAAACCGTCTCACACGGCTAAAGTAAGGAAACTTTGCTTCCTTTGCTCCTGTTAACAAACGTTGGTTTTCACGAGACTCACCGGCGCATGCGCAGCGCTGAACTCATACGTCATCCGCCCGGAGCTGCTTCTGTGTACAACAGTGAGCGCAAGCTACATTAAAGTGATTATTACGTTTTGAATATGGATATTTTTCTTACAAAAATGCATCTGCTTGTCACGGTTCACACACACGAGGAACACGGGAACGAAGGAGCGAGGAGACACGGAGTAAAGTAACTCAAAAGGGTATCGATTCGCTACAGGAGGCCTTTGTTCACCCCCCGGAGCCGTGTGAGACAGGTTTTTTTTATGGAAGGGCGCTTTTTATTTAACTTCTTTTGGACTGATGCATGCAACACCCGCTGAGTGGCATTAAACAGCTTGAAAGATCAAAGACAATTTTTCATATAACTGACTGGATTGTCTGAAAGAAGAAAGTCATATACACCTAGGATGGCTCTGGGGTGAGTAAAACACAGCCTAATTTAAATTTTTGGGTGAACTAACCCTTTAATGTATTCATTTATTTTTTTTACCATGTGTGCAAACTTTTTGTCTTAGAGTTCAGTTAAAACTTCATTGGTTACTTACATCTCACAATTATGATTTTTTTTTCTCGCAATTGAGAGTTTATAATCTTGTAATTCTGAGAAAAAAAAGTCAGAATTGTGAGATGAAAAAGTTGCAATTACCTTTTTTTATTTTTTATTCGATGGCGGAAAACAGGCTTCCATAGATGGCAGATGACGTGAAAAATTAATTTTATGACTTAATATTTTATTGTGACATTTAACTAAAACATAAAAAAATTTAAATCTCTATCCAGTTTTCTATTTTTATTCTAGTGCTCTATCGCTATATGATATAAATAATGATAATAATGATATAAAGTTCTCTATTATAGATCAGTGGTCTGATCTTATGTTAAAAATAAGGGGGATAAAACAGAATGTGATCAATAATTCACTTTACATGTGTAGCAGTATGCTTAAGAAATTGATATATATTAAAAAATATATAAAAATATAAAAAAAGAAATATAAATGTGTGTGTGTGTGTATATATGTGTGTATATACAGTGTTGGGGAGTAACTAGTTACATGTAACGGCGTTACGTAATTTAATTACAAAATAAATGTAACTGTAATCAGTTACAGTTACTAAGAAAAAATG